AAGAAACAAACAAACAAAAATTAGCCAGGCATTATGGCAGGCACCTGTAGTCCCAGCTACTCTGGAGGCTGAGGCAGGAGAATTGCTTGAACCCAGGAGGTAGAGGTTGCAGTGAGCCGAGATCGTGCCACTGCACTCCAGCCTGGGCAATAAGAGCGAGATTCCATCTCAAAAAATAAAAAGAAGACATTAATGAGAGGACAAAATGAGTGATGAGTTCATCAGGAGTGAACTTTTTTTTTTAAGAGTCTTGCTCTGTTGCTCAGTCTGGAGTGCAGTGGCGCGATCACGGCTCACTGCAGCCTCAAGCCATCGTCCCATCTCAGCCTCCTGAGGAGCTGGGACTACAGGTGCGAACCATCATGCCTGGCTAGTTTTCTTCATTATTTAACAGAGACAGGGCCTTGCTATGTTGCCCAGGCTGGTCCTGAATTCTTAGCCTCAAGTGATCCTCCTGCCTCGGCCTCCCAAAGTGCTGGGATTATAGGCGTGAGCCACTGTGCCCGGCCCCCAGTGAACTCATCTTTCCCTCCCAATCCTGCTGGTAGTGGACCCTGCTGCCCACTGCACTGCCCGGCATTCCTTTTGCCCCCGTGACCTCACCCAGGACTCTTCTTCAGAGCATGCCCACAGGAGCTGAAAGCGCCTGGAAGTTCACGCCCCGGGAGGCCCTGAGCCGCCACTCACTAGTGAGGGATCTGAAAACCTGTGTCCCTCGCTGGACACTGAACAACCCAGAGGCCTAACTTATCCCCCTGGGCTCCCCTGCAGGCCCAGCCTGAGGCCTCCATCTGCAGATTTTACCTGAGGTCGCCCCTCACTCAGCCTCCTTGCCAGCCAGCCCAGCCCTGTTTCCCCTTCTCCCCTGCAGGTGTCTCCTGATGAATTTTTATTTTTATTTTTTTGAGACAGAGTCTTGCTCTGTTGCCCAGGCTGGAGTGCAGTGGCAAAATCTCGGCTCACAGCAACCTCCACCTCCCGGGTTCAAGTGATTCTCCTGCCTCAGCCTCCCGAGTAGCTGGGATTACAGGCACCCACCACCATGCCTAATTTTTGTATTTTTAGTTGAGACAGCGTTTCTCCACGTTGGCCAGGCTGGTTGCAAACTCCTGACGTCAAGTGATCTGCCCACCTTGGCCTCCCAAAGTGCTGGGATTACAGGTGAGAGCCACCGCGCCCAGTCCTGATAAATTAATTGCACATAAATCCTCATGACAGTGTCTGCTTCAACAACGGTATTCCCAGCCAGCCAGCGGGGCCCACCTTTCTTGTCCCATCCTTGGGCAAATCCTGATAGTTCTAGTTGCACCTTTTCTACTATACCACACTGCCCTCACTGGTCCAGGCACAGCCAGGCAAGGCCATCTCCTGCCTGGATGGGACCCACCTTCTCCCTGGTCTCCCTGCTTCCCCTCCTGCCAATAGTTCAGTCTCCATGCAGCAGATGAGGCGAACTCCAAATAAACAAATCATCTATGCCCTCCCTTGCATTAAACTCTCCCATGGCTCCCACCTGCCAGAGAATAAAATCCCCTTTTCTTGCCATGGCCCATGAGGTCCTGCATGTCCCAGCTGCTGTTGACCTCCCTGCCTTCCTTGCCTCCAGCCTGGCTCTTCCTTGCACTTCCCAAAAGAACTTTCTCACTGCCAGAGAGGACAAGGTAGGAGGATCACTTGAGGACAAGAATTTGAGGCCAAAGCTGGGCGCGGTGGCTCACGCCTGTAATCCCAACACTTTGGGAGGCCAAGGCAGGCAGATCACATGAGGTCCGGAGTTCGGGACCAGCCTGGCCAACAGATGGGAAACTCCGTCTCTACTAAAAATACAAAAAATTAGCCGGGCATGGTGGCACATGCCTGTAATCGCAGCTAGTTGGGAGGCTGAGGCATGAGAATTGCTTGAACCTGGGAGGCGGAGGTTGCAGAGAGTGGAGATTGCTCCACTGCACTCCAGCCTGAGTGATAGAGCAAGACTGTCTCAAAAAATAAATAAATAAAAAATAAAGGATTTGAGACCAGCTTGAGCAATACCGTGAGACTCCATCTCTAAAAAATTAACAAAAATAGCCGGGCGCGGTGGCTCACGCCTGTAATCCCAGCACTTTGGGAGGCCGAGGTGGGTGGATCACGAGGTCAAGAGATCGAGACCATCCTGGTCAACATGGTGAAACCCCGTCTCTACTAAAACTACAAAAAATCAGCTGGGCATGGTGGCGCGTGCCTGTAATCCCAGCTACTCAGGAGGCTGAGGCAGGAGAATTGCCCGAACCCAGGAGGCGGGGGTTGCGGTGAGCCGAGATTGCGCCATTGCACTCCAGCCTGGGTAACAAGAGCGAAACTCCGTCTCAAAAAAAAAAAAAAAAT